TGAGGTGCTACCGCTGTCACGTGGGGGAGCACGTGAGCGTCAAATGCACCTCGGAGGTGGACCGCAGCGACTGTTGCTTCCGCTGCGGTCGGCCCGGTCACAAGGCCGGCTCGTGCAACGCCCCGCTGCACTGCAACGCATGTGCGGCGGCTGGCAAGCCGGCCAATCACCGGGTCGGGAGCAAGGGCTGCTCCCCTCCCGCCAAACCCAAGGGCAAAAGTAGGCCCTCCGCCGCCCCCGTCGTCTCCGCCGCCGCCGCCACTGCCACCGCAGTCGCCGCTGCCGCCACTGAGGAGGTCGGAATGGACTGCCAATAATGGCTCCATTCCGCCTCCTCCAGGCGAATATCAACCACTGCGCCGCTGCTCAGGATCTCCTGCTCCAGAGCATGGCGCAGTGGTCAATCAATGTCGCCGTGGTCTCCGAGCCGTACTTTGTCCCGCCCAGGGATCACTGGGTGGCGGACCTGGACGGCTCGGTGACCATCATCTCGTCGGCCGCCGCCGGTACCCCGACTCTTGAGGCTGCTCAAAGAGGCCGGGGTTGTGTCGCAGCACGGTTCGGAGAGCTCGCTGTGGTGGGCGTGTACTTCTCTCCGAACCGAACTCTCGCCGAGTTCCACAACTCCTTGAGGGAGTTGGTCACTGTCGTCGTCGGGTTCCGTTCCCTCCCCGTGCTCGTCCTCGGGGACTTCAACGCCAAAAACTTGGCTTGGGGTTCCCGGTTCACCGACGTCCGGGGTAGGATGGTGGAAGACTGGGCCCTTGAGACAGGCCTAGTCGTCCTGAACCGGGGTTCTGTCCCCACGTGTGTGCGGATGCAGGGCGAGTCGGTGGTGGACATATCGTTCGCCAGCCCTGCTCTGTCACCGCGTATTGTTGGCTGGCGCGTCATGGAGGAGGTGGAGACGTACTCCGACCACCGGTATATCCGGTTCGACGTCTCCGCCGAGTCCGCAGACCCGCCGGTCAGACAGGCCCCATGTGGCCCGCGTTGGGCGCTGAAACAGCTGGACCGGGAGCTGCTCCTGGAAGCCGCCATCGTGCAGGCCTGGGTGATACCACCGGTCAGGCCTGCCGACATAGACGATGAGGCCAAGTGGCTCCAGGACGCCATGTCCAGGATCTGTGACGTGGCGATGCCCCGGATCCGGTCGAGGCAACAAAAGCGCCAGGTGTACTGGTGGTCGCAAGAGCTAGCAGCTCTACGCAAGGCGTGCACTGCTGCGCGACGCCAGTACACTAGGCACCGCAGGCGCCGCATCCGTCCTCCTAATGCGGAGGCGAGAGAGGCGGAGTTGTACGAGGGATACAGGGCGGCCAAGGCCCTCCTCAAGGTGGAGATATTGCGGGCCAAGGAGGAGGCCCGCCGAGAGATGCTGGGGACTCTGGACAGAGATCCGTGGGGACGCCCGTACCGGATGGTACGCGACAAGCTCCGCGCCTGGGCTCCCCCGCTCACCCAGAGTCTCCGGCAAGAAGTCTTGGAGGAGGTGATTGGCACCCTGTTCCCTCGACTGTGGAGGGGGTTCACCCCTCCGTATATGACTCCGCCCCCTGCGGTGCCCGACGCGGGCTACAGCGACGACGACGACGACATCGTCCCAGAGGTGACCGAGGCAGAATTGAGAGCGGCGGTGCGCCGGATGGGCGCCAAGAACACCGCCCCAGGACCCGACGGCCTGCATGGCAAGGCATGGGTCCTGGCCTCAGAGGCTCTCGGGCCTCGATTGATTGGTCTCTACAGCGCATGTCTGGAGAGAGGCCAGTTCCCGCTTCTCTGGAAAGCGGGAAAACTGGTCCTCGTGCGGAAGACGGGGCGCCCTGCGGACTCTCCGTCCGCGTACCGGCCCATAGTGTTGCTCGACGAGGTGGGGAAAGTCTTCGAAAGAATCATTTCGAACCGCCTCGTCGCGCACCTGACGGACATTGGGCCGGACTTGTCGGACGGCCAGTTCGGCTTCCGCAGAGGGCGCTCCACGGTGGACGCCATCATGCGCGTTAGAGACCTCACGACGGGGACTGCAGTGTCCAGGGGTAAGGTCGTAGTGGCGGTGTCTCTGGACATCGCCAACGCCTTCAACTCCCTGCCCTGGAGCTGCATCTTGGAGGCACTCCGATATCATCGGGTGCCTACCTACCTCCGTCGTGTAATCGAGGCTTACCTGACGGACAGGTCCGTCAGCTACCCCGGTCACCGGGGCGAGTGGAACCGGCGAGAGATGTCACGCGGTGTTCCACAGGGTTCGGTTCTGGGGCCGCTCCTGTGGAACATCGGCTATGACTGGGTGCTGCGCACCGACCTCCCGAACGGCGTTAGCACAATATGCTACGCCGACGATACGCTGGTGCTAGCGCACGGGAGGTCACACCAGGCGGCGGCCGACTTAATGGCGACAGCGGTTGCGACAGTCGTTGAGAGAATCCGGCAGTTGGGACTCGAGGTGGCGCTCCACAAGTCCGAGGCCATGTGTTTTCATGGCCGCGGGAACGCGCCACCTCCGGGTGGGTCCCAAATAACGGCGGGAGGAGTTACCATCGGCGTCGAGACGACGATGAAGTACCTAGGACTCGTCCTCGACAGTCGGTGGAACTTCATTGAACACTTCCGACGTTTGGCTCCAAAGTTGGAGAGGACGGGGGCTGCGTTTAAACGCATCCTCCCCAACCTCGGGGGGCCAAACGCCTCCTGCCGGAGGTTATACGCCGGGGTCGTGCGGTCCATGGCCCTCTACGGCGCCCCTGTTTGGGCGCCTAACCTGTTGCGGCGTCCCGCTCGGACGCTGCTCATGGCACAGAGGGTCATGGCGATCCGAATGATCCGCGGATACCGCACGATCTCTGGGGAGTCGGCGAACCTCCTTGCCGGATTACCGCCGTGGGATCTGGAGGCGAAGGTGCTCGCGCGCGTGCACAGCATGCGCGCGGAGGCACGTCGCCGGGGCGAAACTCCGCTGCCGCGCCAGATAAGTGCGTGGCGGGATGAGCTCCGGCGCGATCTCATGGCGGAATGGCAGCAACGACTGTCGCAACCGAGGGCTGGGCTCGCTGCCATCGCAGCGGTAAGTCCCCTCTTTGAGGAGTGGCTTGAGAGACGCTACGGCGTCCTCACCTACCGCCTGACGCAGGTCCTCACCGGACATGGAAGTTTCGGGAGGTACCTGTGTCTGATGGGGCGGGAGGAAACGCCCGGGTGTCATCACTGCGAGGACCGCCCTGAGGACACGGTGGAACACACGGTGGGAGAATGCCCTTCGTGGGCTGAGCACCGCCGTGTCCTCAGGGAAGTGATCGGCGATGGCGACCTCTCGCGTCCGGGCCTAGTGCAGGCCATGATGCGGAGCGAGGGGGATTGGGATGCCGTCTCCTCCTTTTGCGAAGCAGTCATGCTAGCTAAGGAGGAGGCGGGACGCGTGAGGCAGCGAAGCGCTGCCTCCTCGCAACCCAGCCATCGCGAAGGACACACCGGGCGTCGGGGATCGCGGGACGATCTCCGGCCACCGTAAGCGCGGGCCTGCGGACGGCGAGCATGGGTGGCTCCCCGTCCGACCAGAAACAGACCCGAGCGTACGGCGCGTCGCGTTCCGCGCGCGCCTCAAAGAGCCATCAGACCACCACAGATGGGGCCCAATAGGGCCGATGCCGATTCGGAGTCGCGGAGAACCTAACGGGTAACCGGGGCTCCGGCTCGACGTGCAGGAGAAGGAACGGGGTGGTTTTTAGTCAGTAAGAGTCTGACACTCCCTCCCGCCTCACCCAGGCGGGGGCAGTCATTCGATGATTTTCCCCCCTTAAAAAAAAAAAAAAAAAAGGGGTCATGGTTCATAAACAATGGTGATTGTTTCATGAAAAACAAATTCACAACTGACCTAAAAATATGTTATAATTTTGTTTGAGTTGTGTTTGTGGCAGCATCCTTTTGATCTCTGTTTATTTGGACCCATTTTTTCAATTAGGTAACCTTATGATTTTCAATGGCACGCATGCTAAACATAAAAAAAAACAATCAGCCGGATATAGTACTTACTATCCTTTTTTTGAAGTCGGCTAAAAAGGTCGGTGCTGCCACACACCACACAACATATTTTATCAGATTTTCCCAAATTTTGCTATATCTTTTAGGCTGGATTCCCTTATTCCGGTCTGATTTTTAAAGGCATTATAATCCTTTTTCATTTTGAGACAATTCATAAACCGATATTTTAAAACTCCTGGAACCGGGGACAGTTGGGTACTTCTCGCATACTTAATGCAGTTTTGTTCTAGACTGATCCTGAGACTTACAGGTAGGCACTGTACATAAAGTGTACCTAATGAAGTAATATCTAAGTTTATGCGTGTGGTTGTTGTAGTTGTTCTCTTAGGTACCTAGATATAGGTACATATTGAGATAACATAGAAGAATGTCTATTATGTCATCGACATTATTGTTTATTGTTTGATCGACAATTATAAAGGTGAATATTTTGTTTCTTTGTTCAAAAATATTAATAGTGTCTCCCGAAACATAAATTTGGTATTTATGAGTACGTTAACCACTGAATTGTTCTTCTCATCTCACATTCTATTATTATTTTTGTTATGCCAGGATTTTCATATTAATCACCTACCTAAGTAGGTACCTATTTATTGTATCGGAAAATTCTTTGAAGACAAATATGTATCATAATATAATTGATTGTACATTATTATCAAGTAAGTGCCTATTGCGTAGCATGCTCTAGTATGGCATGGCTTGCCATTGTATTATAACAATGATCATCTGGTAGTTAGCAGCAATAAAAGATCCAATAAAGTGACCTCCTCCAGGCGGTGGTATCTAACTTTAAGATTGATAATAAACTGTCATAAATGGTCAGATAAGAAGTACCTATAAGTATGTAATGTGGTAACGCCAATATGACACGGGGAACACCTGCTAATTTAGCTAACTAAACCTAATAAAGCACCTTCCTAGGACACTGATTTTAAACAATAGATTCCTTAGACTTAGGTACTCACCAATAGCTGTTCTAGTGCGCACATTCCTTGAGTAACACATCGGGTGCAGGATAGCCCAGTAACGATCCACCGAAACACCCACCAAACAAAAGATACTAATAGTGCACAGCATCACTAACAATGAAACAGTGAATAAACACGCGTGCAAGTTTCGTGGCTGGCCCACTGATGCCAGGATCGCAAACGGTATTCCAAACAGACCGACCAAGAAGTCTGCCACGGCCAAAGACACAATGTAATAGTTAGTACGTCGTCGCAGTCTGCGTTCACGACGAAACACATAGATCACCATAGCGTTCCCCACGACTGCCACCAGTGCCACCAAAATTTCGAAAGTCGTGTACGTCGCATGGAGTTCAGGCGTTGGAGTACGGTGAGGAGCCGACGCCACCGTCGACACCTCCGGCAATATATCCTCGGTGGTGTCCGTCATCGCTTACAAGTGTCCGCCTTGAGTATAACTTTTACTACCACTTCCGGTTAAAATTAATAGCACATTCATAGCATTGTTGAGAAGTTTTACACTTTTCTGGAATGCATCCGGAAGCGACATAATTGCCGCTATTTCCTCTGGTTTTAGACTAAGTGTCCTCATATTGATGTCGAAGAAGACTGACGTGAATAAATGGTCAGATTCGTACGATTCAAATGTTAACAATTGACTTGAAAAGTATTAACAGTTAATCGCATTCGGAACACTAGAGTCCGCGGACGAAGCGAGCGTGTCCCGCTCGTGAGGCGTGCTTCCCATCACTGCGGGCGCGAATTGGCGCGAAACCGCGGCGACGACGGACGGCGGGCGTCCCGACGCACGCCCTACGCCGACGCGCCTAGCACTTGTTGCGACTCACAACCGCCACCACCTGCCCTTGAAATGGGAGTCAGGTTCACGTTGATCGCACCACATCACAACTACTAAGTTAATGTTGGTTTAATTTAATGAACTCAACATGTCATGTATGAATATTAATAGGTATGTAGGTACTAACTAGGCATGTTCGTAAATAAGCCAATAAGTAGGTCAATAAGTAGGTACAATCCTACATTACAGGCATAAATACTTAGGGTAGGTCAGTTACTAAGTTTACAAAATTTTCAAATATGATATATATGCAGTTATATGATATATATAGGTCTGCACGTTTGGCGCAGTGGCTAGGCAACCAGCTGCTATGCAACGTGTCGCGGGATCTATTCCCGTACCATTATCATATTTGTGTGATCCACAAATTGTTATTCGGCGTGGTTAAATTAACTCGTCGAGTACCGTCATTATAGACACAATTATAGAACAATAGGTTGCGATCACCGGTGACCGCTTGGTGTTTGACAGTTTAAATCATAGAATTCGACATTTTCCTTAGCGAACCCGCAAAGCATTAAATAACCCTATCATCCTAATGATGATTGTGATGATGATTATTATTGTAGCGTAAGGTCTATTTGTTCAATCACTAGCTGTAAAAAAATATTTCCAATGATTTAACAATAGCTAATTCTTTATTGGGCAAACAGGACCTTAAAAATAAATAAAAATTCTCAGTACGACCATTTGGCGCCAATTATTCCCAATTTGCGCCCAGTGTATAGTAATAGGCTTACCACTCACCTATGATTCGGAGTCGCGGAGAATCTAACGGGTAACCGGGGCTCCGACTCGACGTGCAGGAGAAGGAACGGGATGGTTTTTAGTCAGTAAGAGTCTGGCACTCCCTCTCGCCTCACCCAGGCGGGAGCAGTCATTCAATGATTTTCCCCACATAAAAAAAACCGCTCACCTATACTACTAGGTAGGTGTGTCATCGCATATATATTCATTATTGTTGATATAAAGTATGCATTTGCACTTGCCTATCCCTTCAAGCATGTATATGAATCAATAGACAAACATTATCAATAACTTATTAATATAATGAAATCAAGTAATATCTGTTAATAAATTATATTATTATATCAACCTCGTCAAGGTTTTGGGTTCGATTCCCGGGTCAGGCAATGTGCCCGGTATATGGCAATAAGCTCACATGGGACTCATAACATAAACAGTGAAAAGTGGGTGTTACATTGTACAGTGGCATTAACTCGTCGAGTACCGGTTTTGTAGACACAATTATAGAACAATAGGTTGCGGTCACCGGTGACCGCTTGGTGTTTGACAGTTTAAGTGCCGTAATTTGCACCTCTGCCTACCCTTTCGGGGATAAAAGGCGTGATGTCATGAAATCAAGTAATATCAGTTTTTAATATCACAAGGTAGTAGCTCTGGGAACTTACAAACATGAATTGCATGGAGTCCTATGAGAAAGCTAATTTCTAAGAAATAAAACATAGTTTATGTTACTAGTGATTAATTTAAGTATATTTATCAACTTGTTAGTTGCACAAAACATTCATCAATAGGCAAATACTTAAGTAGAACACAATATTACATTACATAGAGATACCTAATTGCATTATAATATTTACTGGGTTTGTAATCTCTGTACAAAGTGGCTTGGAATACCAATATTCAATAATGTTCTACCGTCTACTTGATCTAAGTTTGGATGAAAATGCAATAATGCTTCCCAGCAAATTTCGCTCAACTTAGGTAAACATAACCACACTTTGTACATAATATTATTCCTACTAGTAGCATCCTCCTTTGGCTCAATACCCCCAAAGACATACATGCAACCAGTTGAAGTAACGGCTGAAGAATGGAAATACAAAGGATGTGGTAAAATAGTTTTCTGCATCAGAGTCCACTGCAAATCAGAGATATTTAACTTCCAAATATCTTCAAACACTGACTGCCCGTCTGAGCCTCCCGCCACAAACACTTGAGTGCCGTGTTCTGTATCTACCTGTACAATGCTGTGGCACTTTCTGGGTAAAGGAGTAATAGTATCTTTTGAACTGTCATCTGCTTTTGGAGTTAAAATTGTCCATGTTTTAGTATCAAAGTCAAATATTGGTATTTCCATTAGTTCAAATGCCTGTTCGCCAGTTCCTCCGCCAATTATGTACAATTTATTACCAACATGGGCTATTTCATGTCTGTATCTGCCTAATGGTTCACCTTCCTGGCCTGTACCAAGGTACACTAGTTCCCAAACTAATGTTCGAAGATCTAACCTGTGAAGACAAAAGGTCTCATATGACTTTTTTCACAAACATGTTTATTATGTCAAACTGCAACTATAGTAATATAAGATACATACCTATATAAAAAAAAAAAAAAAAAAAAGATACATACCTATATATATCACAGTTATAGACAAAACCATTGGTGCCACCAATAGTATAAAAACACCCATCATGGCACAATATTGCTTGGCCATACTGTGCAGGTGGTCTAATGCCAGTAGCTTCTAAAATATGAAGCCTTGTGTCTTCGTTGCATGTATGCCACACAATCACGTCATTATTGCATTTATTGCCAAAAGGAGCACCTGTTCCTCCAAAAATCTGAAATTAAACATGTCTCACATATTTTGATGCAATTTATAATTTTAAACTATTAATCTTTTACAAATTAGCATACCATTAAATATTTTCCATTCATACACATTGCATTTGACGCCAGTTCTTCTGGCATATTTTCGGTCACTATGTGTTGCTTCCATTTTCGACTAGCTATCGAAAAGCTCCAGAGCTCTTTAAAAAGGGGTCGAGTTGGCGTCCAGGTCGGGTTTTCTCTCAGACGATCAGGAAGCGGTGGTAATGAAGGATTGTAACCACCAAAACAGTAAATGTTATTATCATCACAAGCTATCCTATGGCCACTACGAGGTCTAGGGGTTTCGAATCCTCGATATTTAACTTCGGTAACCTTAAATGGTTCAAATATGTAGTCTTTTCTTCTCGACGTCATATTATATTATGTTATTTACTAATCGTATCCTATGCTAATTAATGAGAAAACAGTATGAATAAATATATTGAAACAAATTTCATTAAGAAAATAATATCCAGTAAATATGCAATTACACCTCACAACAATAAATACGGGAATAAATATTGAATTTTAAATTACTATTCCTTGATTTTCTCGTTTTTCCTACTTATAGTCTATCAACGTGCTATAGATATAGGTAAAATTATTTTGACATTTGAGAAATTGAGAAGCTGTCAACTGTCAAAGTCATAAACACGAATTTCAGCAATGACGACCTTAAAAAAACTCTATTTAGGAACTGAAAGACGGTTCCAGATAAAATTATTGATCGACGTCATACCATACCCTATCCCAAAGTCATCATATTTTTGGCTCAGCAATGGTTGATTTTGTCCTTAATGTTTATTTTATTTACGCAATAAAGTTTAAAATCGCCTTTAATCATGACATCATTGAATAAGTAACATAAAAGTAAATAATAAAGTCTTTGCCTATTTTTCTTTCTTTTCAAGGGGGGAAATCATCTAATGACTTCTCCCGCCTGCCTGGGTGAGGCGGGAGGGAGTGTTAGACTCTTACTGACTAAAAACCACCACGTTCCTACTCCTACACTTCGAGCTGGAGCCTCGGTAACCCGTTAGGTTCTCTGCGACAAATCCTTGCAAATTGCAAATATCAAGAATTGTATATATATAATTATATAAAATAGTTTAAGTAGATACCTATCTATCTACCTAATCAACTTTTTTGGTATAAAAATTGTTTTGTAATAAAAAAGACTGATACAACTATGGTAAACACACGTAAAACAGTAGTCATGAGATGAGTCATCTCTTTTTATTTAGATTTTAAATACCTACTTGCTGTGAACTTAGTGAGTTCATGCACCATTTTAGACTTGTAGTTTTCACTTAGGGATAAAAATTTTACGAATAAAATACAAAATCACATGTTTAAATTTTATTTCACCAATTATTTTGTCGATACAAATAACGGGCTACGCTTTTCTAACCATTACATGGAGAACAAAGCTTCTAGCATAACATAAAATAGCATAGCATAATTATCAGGCTGCTCTACTACAGAAAAATTACAATAATAACAGAAATTAATAGAATTGTTCATAAATTGTCATTAATGTATATGTTGATGAATGTGTAATTCAAGTCATTATTGCCCCTCAACCTATATTTCGTGTCAACAATTTATAAAAGCAAATTATTGTAAATACAATTTTATTAATTCTCTTTTTTATACTTGGAAAAGCTTATGATTAAGTCAATAACAAAATTAAATAAGTCAACAAATACCAATAGAAACTATGAAATTCAAATAAAAAATTAATGGTTCCGCTTAGACTTCTTGTTTTTCTTGGAAGGACCTCGGTTAGCGAATACAAAATCACTCAGCATTGGCATACGAGGAGCGGATACTTCGTCGACGGCAGGGGCAGCAGGAGGAGGCGGTGGTGCAGCGGGCGCCTTACGTTGACGCCAAGTACCGCTGTTGCCCGCCATCTAGTAACAAATATTTTTAAAGTTATGGTTAACAATGGAGAATGTTTAAGTTTTTAGAAATATATGTACCTATGAAGCCCTCGGTGTTAGGAATAGATCTGTATACTTAGTTTTGTCGTACAACCAAAACAGCACGAATTATATGCGTCTGCTTTTGATGACTTGCAGTTTTAAAAAAAATAAAAAAATATGTCAACATTGTACCTATGTGATGTTAGCACCTGTGACATATATTGTATTTTTTAGTTAAACTTTGAAGATTCACCCATATATCGACCTTATTTATGAATGGGGCCGTCGGTAGAGGGCGCCCTAGACGGACATATAGTGACCAGATTGGCGA